AAAATTAATTTTATATACATAAAGTACATATAATTTATTTTTTATTTTATAGTATTATTATTATCTTTTATAATAAAGAAATAAGAATCAGCATAGGAAAAAGTCTTAATCCTATAAATATTATAACTTTAAGAGTTTTATTAAATATAATATATATTATATTTTTATCTTCCTTTATAAAAAAAAATTAATATTCATAATATTCATTTTTTTTTCTATTTTCTTTTGCCACATTATTTGTATTATAGATATTCGACTTCAGCCTATTTTAAAATTCATAGGGATCTGTTCGTTTATTAGAAAAATAAAATAAAATATATAACTTTTCTATAATTAGGAAGTATAAGAAAAAAGAATTTATAAATATACTAATATTATTAAATACACATTATTAATATATAAAGAAAAAAAACATTTATTTCATAAATAAAAATACTAATATAATAATTTTTACTTGTAAATTTTTTATTTATGTATATTTTAAATCTAATTATTATATTTAATATAACAAAATAACTTCAAACGTTGGCTTTGATGATTTATTTAAAATAAAGAAACAATGCACACTATTAATATAAAAAGATTTAAAATTAAATCAATTAAGGGTTGTAAATTTAATAAAAAAGGCTAAATAAATACATTTGAGAAATACTTTTTCATATATCTTATTTTTTTTTTTTAGATAATTTAGAAAAAGAGGTTCATAAAGTTATTTTTGAAAATATCTTAAATATTTCTCTATTAAACATTTGATTTTTCAATAATATAAAATTCATTTAATAAATAAAAAAGCTAGAAAATGAATAGTTTATATTAAAGGATCATATATATATATATAAATATATATATATATATATATATATATATATATGATATTAGTATATATTTATATAATTAATCTTTGAAAAAGCAATAGATATAATGTTATATAATATTAGAAAAAGTAAAATTTATTAAAAATTTATTGAAAAACAACCTTTTTTATATAAAAAGTATTTATTTAAACTTCTAAAAATATTTTTTTAAATAATTTTTTATTTTCTTAATTTTAGCGAAAAAAAGTAACCCTATAAATATTCTGTGAAAAATTTGGTGAATTTTTAAATGAAAACTAATCTATTAAAAAAAATGCTAAAAATTAACAAAGCTATATTAAAAGCAACAATTTATATGAAAAAATATATATTACTAAGAGATTAATGATTTTAATCAGTAAATAATTATTTCATTAAGAATAAACTCTATTTCTATTTTATTGCTTTTAATATAAATTAAATTAAAAAATTTAAAAAGACAAACAATAGAGGTTTAACCATTAATATAAGTCTTGTTTACCTTAAAAATAATATGCTTTTATTGATTTTTTGTAAAGAATTTTCCTCTAAAAATAAATTTTAGATAATATAAAATAATAAAAGGTTAACAAAAAAGAAGAAGATTCTTATGTATATTTGAAGAAACTACTTTTTTATAAATTAGAATAAATTAATATTAATTAATTCATTAATAGTTAAAGTCAATATTTATATAGCAATTTGTTTTCTTACTCCAAAAATAAATAATATGGGATTTAATAATAGTTTCTCTAACGTTATTTTTTTTGGAAAAAGAAGATATGATTGGTTTATTTGAAATATTAAATATATATATATTTGTTTTATTTAATGAATTAATTTAATACGATATTACGATATATTTTTAAAAATAATTATTATATAGATCCTTATATATTTTAAAAATAGATTTAATTTACAAATTTCTTTTTAAAAAAAAATATTTAACAATAAAATAATTCAAAATTAATTTAAATCAACTCTACATACAGGACATTTTTTAGTGTTTCCCTAATTAGATGAAAATATCCAATTTCTAAGGCATTAAATATGAAAAAAATGTTTATTTTTACAACTTATTAACCAAAAATCTAATGGAAATTCAATATCAGAAATACAAATAGGACATTCCAAAAAATCTTTTTATTTTAAATTTTTTAAGCAAACAATTTTAATTTTCCTAAACTTAAATTTTTTTTAATATTAAAGATTTAGATTTAAAATTAAATAAATTAAATTATAAAAGTTAAAAAATTATAAATCTCATTTAAATTATTTTTAGAAATTAATAAATTTTTTCTTAAAACTAAAAAAAAATCATTTTTTTTTCGAGAAAAAAAAAAAATCCAATAAGTAAAAAATAAAGCTAAATTTTACTCAAAATCCTTACAAAATATTGAAAAAATTAGTTCTGTTAAATTTAAATGAATTACTTTTCATTTTTATAAATCAAATATCTATTTTCAATATAAAAGTTTAACTAAATAATTAAAAAGAAATTCTAAAAAATAAAAAAAGATTTATCCAAAAAGTTCCTATATATAAATTTCTAAGAAATATGGTCCAAATAGCACATATAAATAATTAATTCATAAATAAAACTTCCATATTTTTCTAAAAAAAATATATATTTATTTTAAGCTTTATATTATTATTAATTTTTAATATTCATTATTTAATCAAATAACTCTTAATAAAATTCAAACCTATTAATAAATATAAACATCATTACATGTTTTTTATCTAAATAATTTATTTTTAAAGCAAATTTATATTTATCAACTTAATCCATTACATAGTATGTAAAATTCTTAAATTATTCATATATTTTTAACTAAGAAAAAAAATCATTCCTGAATAAATCATATATAGAAATTCTTAATTCCATATGATTATAACCATTAATTTCTTCCCTTTTTAAATTTTCTAATTATTTACAATAATTTTCATACTAAAAATAAAATACAAACAAACAAGAAAAAAAACAAATAGTCAAAACATGCTTCTTAATATAACTCATATAATAATAAAAAACATACGTTAATATAAAAGAAACCAAAATACTAACAAATATACCTTCTCTATTTTTAAATTAAAGGTTGTTACATAATTATTCATATTTATGTTCTTCTACAAATAAATTCATATTTTATACAAAAGTGAATTTCTATAAGGAAAACTAAATTTATATATAGTCATTTATTTATTAAAAATAATCTTCATTTTAATTGAATTTATAATCATGTATATAATTATCATTTTATTTAAAATTTTAAGGCTTTTCAGTGCTTTTGAAAACTAAAAGTTTTTATTCGGAAATTTTTTAAATTTTATTTAGCATTTATTAATAATGAAATTTTTGCATTTGAAAATGCATTTTGCCTTCTATTAATTTCTAAAGCCAAATCTATTATTCTTGTGTTTTTATTTCAATTTTTTTTTGGGAATTATATGTAATTGTAATTATTTATTCATCTTTTCTTTATTTTAATTAACATTCCTATAAATTTATTTTCATTAAAAGATTTATTTTTTAAAAATTGTCAAATATATAGAAATCTGAGTTCTTTATTTCACAATATCTTTAGTTAAAAAACCATTTAGTTTTCACACTTAAAAATCCTTCCATTTATTTATTTATTTATGGAAAAAAATAAGAATATTAAATAAATAAAAAATTAAAATTATTAGATTAACAATATTAAAAATATTAAATTTAAAAAAATATTAAAAATAAATGTATAAAAAGTTATATTTGAATTTTTTTTTTTTTTTTGAAAATAAAATAAAATAAAATATTATTAATAATAATAATAATAATAATAATAATAATAATAATAATAAATATTTTATTTTAGTTATTTTTTTCTTCATTACTAATTAAAATTAGCACATTTTTTTATTTTAAAATCAGTATAAAATTATGTTAAATAAAGAAAGATATAATTTTGACAAAAGATTTAATGATGTTGCCTAAAAAATATTAACATTTAACAATAATATTTCAATAAACTAACCAACAAACGAATAATATCCTAAAGATGTAGATTATTAATAATATCTATTAAATACAAACGAATATATTGATCCATAAATGTAATATAATTATTTATCATAAATTCCTAATATACAATAATAAAATCAACCTATTATATAAAGTTAACCATATTATATACCCCAATAGTCAGATTATTAATAAATTAATAATAACTAACAAATACCTAATTATATATAAATATAAAATAACCAATAAATACAAAACGATCAATAAATTTAAAATTGTAAATAAATTGAAAATATTAAACCTTAAATAAAAATTTAATAAGATGACTAATAATAGAATAGTACAGAAAAATATAAAAAATAAAAATAAAAAATATAATTACAATAAGAAAAATAAAAACTTTAATAAATTCTTTCTTAATAAGAAATTTAGAAAAATTTATAAAATAATTATTCTGTTTCTTAATTAACAGGCGAATTAATATTAAGACAACAATTAATGCTTAATTAGATATAATAACAATAATATTTTATTAATTCTTAATTTTAATAATAGCAAGAAACTCTTAATTAAATAAAAGAAAATTAAAATGTTAATTAATATAATTAAATTTTATAAAAATAATAAGAAATTATTGATTTAGTTATTAAAAAAACACAAAACATTAAAAATGATTAGAAATAAAAATATGAAAATTAAATTAAATAATTAGAATAAAATTATTATATAAATCTTATTAATTCAAAATAATAATAATTACTTGATGAAATATAATGTTTAAAAACATAAAAATAATAATAATAACCTTATTATCCATAACCATTTTTTTATAATTAAAATAATCCTCAATAAATTGTTAATTCAATATTACCTTAATAATAATATCCTCAATGGTAAGTATAAAATATAAATCCTTAAGATAATAATCATTTAGATATATATCTAAATATATTTAAAAATAATAAGAACGATAAACTAGTAGAATCTTTACTTAAAGATATAAAAAGATTTAAATGAAAATAAAAAAATTATTATAAAATTAATGTAAATAAGATATTCTTAAATTTTTATTAAAATAAATATAAAAATAATTAAATAAAAAAATATTTAATAAAAATAAATCATTCATTCATTTTAAATAAATTAAAAATGATTAAATTTTATCATAATTATAATTATAATTGAGGAGGAAGTGGTTAGAAATAATCATCAATTAAAGATTATGGAACGTCAAAAGGTGACTAATAAGTCCATTTAGGCTAATCATTTCTATCAATCAAAACAGTTCTAATACCTTCGAAAAAGTCATTTCCTTTCAAAAAACTAATAAAATAAAATAATATATATATATATATATATATATATATATAATATATATATATATATATATATAAATATATAATTATAATATATAATTATAATATGTAACCTTTAACTTAAAGCAAAATCTTAAATTAAATTTTCTTTTAAACTCATTTTTGCTCCTCTTGATATTTATTCGAAAATAATTCTTAAAGAAATAGCATTTTATTATTATAAGTTTTTTAGTGTTTATTTAGCAAATTCACTATCTGATTATTTAATATTATTAATTATATTTTACAAAGTGTTTCCTTAAAATAATGTTTTTATTTCAAATTCATTCTAAATTATTTTTTCTACATCTAAACTATATTTTTTTACTATTTATTTAATATCTTCAGTTGAAGTATTATCATTTAAATTTTCAGAAACTTCCTTTTCTAAATTTTCTAAATCTTTACTCTATACAAAAAAATTAGCAATTCCACATGAGACTAATTCTTTTCCTTTTAAACGAGCGCCACTTAGGCCTAAATAAAGTCCTATATTATTTCTTAATTTAGAAAGGAAAAAACCACCTCCAACATCTGTAAAAAATCCTATTTTTGCTTCTAAATATATATATATATATATTTTTTATTTAATAAAAGTTAAATAAAATATATAAGAAAATAAACTTTTACTTTATATACTTTAACATACTTTAAAAAAAAATAATTATATAAAAAAAAAACATTAAAAAAATAGAATATATATATATTTAATATAAAAATGTATAATATAAAGTATTTATAAATATAAAATAAAAAGATAATATATATATATATATTTATATATTTATTATATTTATATATTTATATATTTTTAATATGTATATTTAATTTATTATATATATCTTAAATAGATTTACCAGGCATTGCAAATACAGAATTTTCAGTAGCTATTTTAATTGGTGAATGAACTGATATACCCACTCCTCCACCCATTACTATACCATCCATTACTGAAATTTATGTAGGTTTCATTACTGCCAATGAATAATCTAAAGTAAATTCCTCTTTGAAAAAATCTACTAAGATTTTTTATATTTAAATATCCCCTTATATTTTAGCATCATACAAAGAACGAATATCTCCTCCTGCGCAAAAAGCCTTACCTCCAGTACCTTATATCCATACAGCTTTAATATTTTTATTTGTCCATTCTTCGATTTTATTCTAAATACTTCTTATCATTTGTAAGTCTAATGCATTTAATGCTTTGGGTTTATTTAATTCTACTTTTATGAATTTTTTTTTTTCAGTAAATAAAACAGAATCTGTTTTAGAACAAAAACATGACTGTATTTGTTTATTTAATTACATTATTCTTTTCATTTATTATTAATAATAAATTAATTTTTAAAGGTTTAATATTTTTTATTATTTAATAAATAAAAAATTACAATTTAATAAAAGATATATTTTTTTATAAGATTATATAAAAAAATAGATTGACATAAGTAATGTTTTTATATATAAATAATTTTTTTTTTTATATTAATTTTTTTTTTAAACATTTTTTTTTTAATTAAATTTTTTAAAAAAATAAAAAAAAAAATAAAAGATTAAAATCAACTAAATAAAAAATATATTTATAAACGAAATAATAGTTTAAAAAAACAAAAAAACAAAAACAAAACAAAAAACATGAACATATAAAGATTAGAAACAGAGGAATAAGAAGACAGAAAGTTTTAAAAATAAAAAATAAGTAAAATCTCTCAAAACCTTTTAAAAATCGAACAAAACAGAATCGAACGTAGAGAAAAAATGAACTAACTAAAACTCGAAAAAATCGAAAGGGAGTAATAAAACAAAGAAAGTAATAAAAACGTAGACTTAGACTTCGAAATATTAATAAATAAAGAACGTTTATGCAATTCTTTACCACATCAATACATATAACAAACCCGTCTATCTGTAATAGTCAGAAAGCGTCCAATATTCTTAAAAGAGCAAGAAGATGGCGAAATAGATGCAATTTCATGTTCAAATCCAATCATTAGGATTCATGAGCCAAAATATAAAGTAGATGGGATAACAAAATTTGTCGAAAATCATGATTTTTAATTTGATAATACTTTTCTGAATAAGAATCTACTGATGATATTATAAATATAGTCTATAACCAATTATTGATTCTATATTCAAAGATGGGGTGGTGACATGCTTTGCATATGGATAAACAGGAAGCGGGAAAAGCTTACTATAAACGTAGACTTAGATATTTGAAATTTTAATTAAACCATAAAGAACGTTTATGCAATTCTTTACCACATCAATACATATAACAAACCCGTCTATCTGTAATAGTCAGAAAGCGTCCAATATTCTTAAAAGAGCAAGAAGATGGCGAAATAGATGCAATTTCATGTTCAAATCCAATCATTAGGATTCATGAGCCAAAATATAAAGTAGATGGGATAACAAAATTTGTCGAAAATCATGATTTTTAATTTGATAATACTTTTTCTGAATAAGAATCTACTGATGATATTTATAAATATAGTCTATAACCAATTATTGATTCTATATTCAAAGATGGGGTGGTGACATGCTTTGCATATGGATAAACAGGAAGCGGGAAAACCTTTACTATGAAAGGTTTATAAGGGCATTATATATTTGATATTTTTAATTAAAAACCAAAAGATGTAAATGTTTTTATTAATTATTTTGAAATATATGGAGGAAAGTATTTTTTTTTTTATTTTTTTTTTTAAATAATTTTTTTTTTTAAAAATTTTTTTTTTTTTTAAATTTTTTGTTTATTTTTTTTTTTTTAGATGTTTTGATTTACTAAATGATAGAAATCAACTTTAAATTTTAGAAGATAAAAATAATAATATTTAAATATAAAATTTAATGGAATTTCAAGTAAATAATTAATATGATGTTGAATAATTATTTTCTTAAGCTGCTAATAATAGAACGTATTATATATAAAATTATATTTTTAAGAATAAAATTAATTATTAAAGTACACATTCAACAGAAGCAAATTCGGAATCATCTCGTTCTCATGCAATATGTTCGGTATTTTTATTTATAATATAATAAAAATTAAATGAAAATAAAAATAAAGATTTAAATAAAAAACTAATAAAACTAAATGAAAGGAAAATTAATAATGGTTGATTTAGCTGGAAGTGAAAGAGCTTAGGATTGTTAAGGAAATTCTAAATAAAGAAAATAAGAAGGAGCTGAAATAAACAAAAGGTAAAAATAAATATATAATTTGTAATTAATTATATTAAAAAAAATAAAAAAAATATAAAGTTTATTAGCATTAAAAGAATGTATTAGAGCTATGGATGGAAATGCAACTCATGTACCATTTAGAGGTTCAAAATTAACATTAGTATTAAGAGACTCTTTTTAAAGTAAAAGTTAAAATTCAAAAATTATTATGTTTGCATGTATTTTACCTGGTAGTTCTTCAGCAGATCATACTTTAAATACATTAAGGTATTTATATATATGATTTTATATTATTATTATTATATATATATATTTAGATATGCTGATAGATTAAAAGAAACTGATTCGAATAAGAATGTTATTGTTAAATATATGGAAGAAGAAAGTTAATAAAAAAAAATCAATGAAATAATTGTTGGGTGTGAAGAATATAAATAATATGATGCGAGACTTTATTCAGTAGAAAATAATCCTTTAGTCATCAATAAATAAAATTAATAATAATACAATAAACTTTTTAAAAAATAATAATAAAATACTAATAATTTGTATAAAGTTAATAATAATTATAATAAAAATTAATTAGGAAATGAAAATTTAAACAATAGTAGCAATATAAATAATGACAAAATAAAAAAATAAAATGATAGTAATCAATTAATTTTATAGTAAAAAAATTAAAATAATATTACAATTGAGGATGATATTATAAATATTAACAAAGATAAAAATGTAATTATTGTATAAGATCTCAATATAAAAACTGAATCTTATAATAATCAAAATAATTAAAGTTAATAATAAAAAGATTATGCTAGAGAAAAACAAATTGAATTATTTGCTTAGCATTTATAATCTATAAAAGTAAAATATATATATAATATTTATATATATATATATATATATATATATATATATATATATATATTTATAGGAAGATGCTAATTTATTAGCTTTGGAAAGTAATTTATTAAATGAATATTAAAAAGAAGATATATAGGAATATGAAATTGATAATTATATTTAATAATTTAATTAAATTGTATAATAAAAATTAAAAATATATACTACATTAATTTAAAATATAGAAAAGTATAAGTAAAAAAAAGTATATATTATTTATTATTATAAAAATATTAAAAAACAGATAATTAAAAAAAGTTAGTTTATAATAAATGTAAATAATAATAATTAAAATATAGATATATAAGCAAAAATCAAAAATAAGAAAAAAGATCATTAAAAATATATAATAAAGAAAAACAAAGAAGATATATGATTCAAAAAAAAAAAATATTATATATTTAAAATATAATATAAATATATAATAATTAAATATATTTATAAAAAATTTATATATTATAAAACTATAATTCTTATCTATATTTATAATTTTTAACTTTTCTATTTTTATTAATATAAATAATATAATATATTAATATATATATATATATATATATATATATATATAAATATATATTTATATATATACAGATTTATATCTATAATTATTTTTTTACATAGAAATAAATTATATTTATAAACTAATAACAATAACAATATTTTTTTGAAAAAATTAAAAAAAAAATATATAATTTAGTTAATATTATATTTTATAATTTAAAATAAAAAAAAATCATTTTTATGTTAAACTTTCTCTTAATTTTTTAGTTAAATTTTAATTCATTTAAATAATTTCATCAATATCATTATAAAACTAATTTAATTAAAAGTTTTAATTATTTTATTTTAAATCGCTTTTAATTTCATTAATAATATTTTATAGTTAATCCCTTCCTAATCTTAATTATATTTTTTCTTTAAATTTTTAATTTACTTTAAGTAAATGTTAAATTTATAAAGCCAAATTTTTAATATCTCCTTAAAATTACTAAATTTCCTTATTTTTTTCATCCATTTATTTAATATTTTTTCTCTCATTTTCTTCTAAAAAATTCAACTTTTATAATTTGTTTTCCATATATGAATATTATATATTTAGTTCATAAAATTTCTAGTTTAAATCTTTTAATATAGGGCCTTTTTTTTACATTTCCTTAGTAATTATCTATATTTTTTCTTCTAGTTTTTATCTTTTTTCCCTCTCATATATATATTTTTCCTTATAATTATCTTCATTAGCCTCTTCTTGAATTTATTTTTATATTCTTTCCTATTTCTCTTATAATTTACTGTATTTTTTCTATATAAAATCGCATTTTTTTTTACAATTTTTTACTTCTTGTTCCAAATTATTCACTTAAGATTCTTTTTCTTTTAAAATTTAAATAATTTATTATTCATATTGTGCTAATTATTAATTAAGTTATTAATTTTTTTCCAAAAAATAGTCTAATTATCTTAAAAAGTATTTTTTCTTCAAAAAATACTTCTTTAGGTATTTCTTTTTGTAAAAAATTTTATTATTTTTCCAAAAAGATTCTATTTATGAAAATATCTAATTTTCTTTTTTTATAAAAAATGTAAATTTTCTTAACTTTTTTACAAAAAATTTTAAAAAATAAATTAATTTTCTTAATTTTTTTTCGGTTTTTTTCAATAAATTCTTCCAATTAAATAATTTCGGAATTTTTTAAAATATTTTCCTTTTCCAAAAAATATAATTTTTTAGAATTTTGGTCTTACATTTATATTTTTTCAATATTTTTTTTTAAATATCCTTAAAATATTGCACTTATTCATTAAAAATTTCCTCTTTTTTTAAACTATATTTAAATATTTATTCTATTTGATTTTCTAAAATGTCAATTTCTTACTAATAAAGAATAATTTTTTAGTTTTTTTAAGAGATTTCATCTTCTAGTTTTTATATTTTTTCTTTTTCTGATTTTATTTATGATTCAGATTCTGAAAAGCTTTTTTTATTTAAAAGTTTTTTATTTTTTTGAATATTTTCAAGTTTATTTTAGAGTGATTATATTTTTTTTTCGTATAAATTTAATTTTTATTCTAACATTTTTTTTTTTTAATTAAATAAAAAATTTTTATCTTTTTTAAATTTATATAAATAAATAATAATATATATTTTTTTTAAACATTTTGTTATATGAAATATTATTATTTTTTTTTAAAGGAAAAAAATAAAATATATATATATATATATATAAAAATAAAAAATAAATATGGCTTTAAGAAATTATATTTTCAAATTGAATAATTAATTATAAAAGTAAAAGAAAAAAAAAAACAAAATAAATTAAAAAATCAAAATTAATAAAAATAAGCCAAGCAGTATAAAGAAGTTTAGGATATTTAAGTTAAACAAATTTAAGTAATGGATATATAGCAAAATCAATCAAAAATTTCGAAAATATTAAATAGTAATTAAATAAAAATATTAAATATTCAGAAAATATATATATATATATATATTATAAAAAAATAGATATTTAAGATTAAAAGAAAACAATGATAAAATGGCTAGAGATTAATTAACATCAGAATTAGACAAATAAGAATTCGATATTTTAAAAAAATATAAAGATCATGGAATGAATGATCCTTTAGTTGATGTAAGTTTAATTATGGAATAAATCGATAAAATTTAGGTTTTAAGAAATCTAAAGTAAATATATATATATATAAAAATAATTATAAAAATAAATGATATAATAGATATATTAATAAATATATAAATATTTATATTTATATACATATACATATATATATTATTTTATTTATAAAAAAAGAATGATTGAAGAAAATGAATCTGCATATGACCCTGAATTAGTTAGATATGAGAAGCTTAAAGCTAGGGTATTACTAGATGAACCTGGGTTTAATATTTATTTATAAATATTTTGTTATTAATATAAAATTTAAAATATAATTAGGGCATATGAAGAATTATAATAGTACATGTAAAATCGTTCTTATCATAAAAATTATGAAAAAATAGATCCTTCAGAAGAAACAATTAAATAAAAAGTTTTATTTTGAAATAGAATCTTTTTTTTTTTTTTTTTTAATAATAATTTGTAAACGAAAAAATAAAAAAAATAAAATAAAAAAATACATATATTGAATACATTTAGAAATAAATAATATTAAATTATAAATATATATAAAAAAATTAAAAATAATAAAAAAATCATGCTTTTTATTATATAAATTATATAATAAAAATGTTATAATTATCATCCAAAAATAATTTTAAGGCTACCTAATATAATAAGACCTGTCCCAAAAATATTAAAAATACTAATATTCTTATGAAAGATAAAAATATCTGTAAATACCTAAATAGGTACTTAAATATAAGCAATAGGTGCCACCGTACTAGCTTTTGCTAATATAAAAGCTTAACCAACACACAAAGACCCTAACAATTGAAAAAAGCCTGTTAATAAAATAAATATGAAATTCTAAATATCAAAAAATATTATATTTTATTGATTAAAAATAATAAAAAAAGTAGACAATAAAATCGTTAAAAATATCTAATATTATACTAAGACAGTAATTTCGCAATTTTAAGCTTCTTAATGTATTTTTCTTGTAAAAATATTCATAAAAGACTAAGAAAAACTAAAAGTAATTGCAAAAAAGACACCTAAAAATTAATTTTCCTATTATTAATTATTTTTTAATTAGGATGAATTTTATTACTCTAAACCTAAAATTTTTTTAATAAAAGTAGGTTTAGCAATTAACAAAATCCCCAAAAAACTAATAAAAGTACTTATATATATATTTTTATTCAATTTCTCACCTAATATTAGACTAGCCAATATACAAGTGACTATTGGAAAAGTTAATTATATAGAAACAGCATCACTTAAATTTAAATTTAGGGTAGCTCCAATTATACAAAAATCACATATAGAACCTGCTATTATACGCCCTTTAGCTACTTTAAATGTTTTAGCATCGAAATGTATATTAAGGGATTTTCTTATGTTTATGTAGTTTAATATAAATTATATTGTAGCTCTGTATTGAAGGATGTGGAGGAATTACATGTTTTTTATTAACTTTAAGAGGATTCCAGATATACAAAAAAATGTAGAGCTTAATAACATTAAAATTAAGCCGGCTAATTATCTATTTAAAGAAGTTTTAGGATGAAAATATTAAAATTTTACAATAGATTATAATCTATTCATTTATGATTTTTTTATTTCTTTTTTTTATAAAGGATATTAAATATTTATTAAAAATTATTGTTTTTATTGGTCTTTATAAAAATAAGAATTATTAAGTTTTAAATTATTTTCAACAAAGAATATAATTTTTTTGATTAAATAAAATAAAATATTATTTTAAAATTCTTTATTTTGTTTTAATTATTAAATAATATTTGAAAAAAATAAAAATAATAATATTTATAATTAATTCAAACAAAATAATATTTATGCATTTTTTTAATTTATATAAAATAGTAGTTACATTGAAATATAATATACTCTTTAATATTATTGAATTACTAATTTTAAAACTTTATATCAATATTAATATTTTAATAAATTTTAAATTAAACTTTTAATATATAAGTAATTAAATAAAATATAATTTATAAATTAAAAAATAGTATTTATTATATTTTAAATTAAAAATATTAAATTTTAATTAATACTTTTACTGCATATAATTAAATATTAGTAATATTATAAATAAAGAACATATTTTTATCGAAAAATATAATATTTAAAGTAAAATTAATATTATCTAAAGTAAAATTTAACAATTTTTATTTTTAATTCAAAAATTTAATAATTATTTTAAAGTGCTTATTAATAAACAAAATTACAAATATATTATATAAAAATAAAATGGAAATATATACATATTTTATAAATAATAATTTATAAAAATAAAATAAAAAAAAAATATGAAATATATTAAAAAATAAAATAAAATAAAAAGAAGATATGAAATAATTTATAAAAAAATAAAATAAAAAAAAATAAAATAAATAAAAATAATAAAATAAATTAAAATAAAATAAACTAAAATAAAATATAAAAAATAAAATAAAAAATTAAAAAATAAAAAAAGATATTAGTGAAAATATTAAATATATTGTATATAAAATAAAAAAATCGTATATAATAATAATAATAATAATAATAATAATAAAATAATAATAATCATAATAATAATAAAAATTATCAGTTATAATTATAATATCACTAATTTTATAAATAAAATAATTTTATATAATTGTATTTATTATCATATTAATATTAATTAATTATATTTAATTTTTATTTCTTTAGTTATTTTAATAAATAAAATAAATTATATATATTATAATTAAATTTATACCAATAATCTATTATTTATAAATATATAAATAATTTAATTCTAATTTTTTTTAAAAATTTTTATTAATACAATTTTTTTGATATTTTATTTTTTATTATATTTTTTTTTTATTAATATTTTATAAAAAAAAAAAAAATTATAAGTATTTAATTTTATCTCAAAATAAATAATAAATATTTAAATTATTTAATTTATTATTTTAATATTAAAAACTTTAATAATAAATTTGAAACAAATTAAATCATATATTATGATTGTATGTTTATATTTTTGTTATATTTTCTGGTAAAACCGAATAATAATAATACTTTAATTTATATAAAATATTTTAATATTATTAATTATATATAAGAAATTAAAAATATATTTATATTATCTTAATTAAACTTATCTAATTTAAGAATTTAAATTGGATATTTAATTTCAAAGAAATAAATAAAACGGAATTTAAAATAATTTCCTAAGCTCTATTTAAATATATATAATTAAAAAAAAATAACCTTTTCTTTAAATAATTTAACAGATATTAAAAATCAGAATTTTATGGTAAAACATACAAACAACTTTTATTATTTTAATAGATAAATATTATTTTATTTACATATAAATTAACTAGCGATAAAAATAAAATAAGCTTTTTAGAATAAAATATTTAAAGTTAAATAAATTAAATATTATATTTATAAATAAAAAAATTAATAATAGTCTTAATTAATTACAATATGTATTTTAAATTTATAAATTATATAAATATATTTTATTTTAAATTTAGAAATCTTATATAATGAATTTACTTTAAAACAAAAAAAATTATAAGTTCATAAAATAGACTTTTTATTAAAAAAATAAAAATTTTTTGACTATTTATCTAAATTTTATTTAGATTTATGTTAGTATTAAGAAATAAAAGTAGTTTTTTTTTTAAATACTAATCTTAATCTTTGATATGATAAATTAAATAATAAAATGTTTTTTTTATAAAATAATATTAAATAATAATTTAATGTTTCTTTTTTTATAATTATAATATATTATACTTTTAATCTTTTTATATTAATTTTATTTGTTTTACATACTTAATTTATTTTATTGTTTATATAGACATTATTTTTCTATTTATTTGATATTATCATATATTTTATTAGATTTTTTTTTATGTTTTATTTTATATTATATGATTTTAATTGTTTTAAAAACATTTAATAAACTCTTGAAAAATTAAATATATTAGTTTATAAACTAAACAATAAATTGGATTTATATATTATTATTAATTTAAAAAACTAAAATTAGCAAATAAAACTTTTAATTTCTTATAACAAGATTATTCTTTACAAATATTTAAGCAATATTTTATAAGTAAATAATTTACATTCAATATAATTAAATTATATATTTTTTTTTTATAAATAAAATACTAATTAATATATATATTATATTATATTAAATTATAATTAATAATATTATTTTTATTAAATTTTTTAGAAAAATTGATATTATTATAAAAAATTTATTAATATGTTTATAAATTTATTTATTATAATCTTTAAAAATTATTTTATTGTGTTATTTTTTTATTGTTAAAAAATAGTTTTTTTTTAATATTATATTTTTATTTATTTAAAAAAATAAAAATAATTAATAATTATTATAAAAAATTAATACATTTTTTTTAAAAAAAAATAAAAAAAAAAAATAAAAAAAAAAAAAATTGATTATTTTTTTTTTTTAAAAAAAAAAAATCTATAATAAAAACAAAAGTAAATTTAAAAAATAAAATAATCCAAAATCAAAAATAATAAAAATGTAAACTTCAAAATAACCATAATATAAAGAAGAAGCGATACCATTAATAATATATAATACAAGCGATTAATGTAATTACCTAAAAAATATATAAAAAAATAATAATAATAATTAACAAAAAATAATTAAAATAAAAATATATAAAAAAGGTTATTAATTAAATGATGAAGCAATAGAATTCATATAATAAGTACCAGGTCCTATAGGTGTAATAGGAGTAGCCGGAATGTATCGTACAGGAAAGTCTTATTTATTAAATTAAATGCTTTTGTAAAGATCAGATGGTTTCGGTGTTGGCCCAACAGTTAATCCTTGTACAAAAGTAAAAAAATTATTTATGAAAAATATATTTTTATATATATATTATAAATTAAAATAGGGATTATGGATATGGGGAACACCATTAATATATCAAAATGAAGAAGGAGAAAATATATATATATTAATAATAGATTCGGAAGGAATAGGAGCTTTAGACGAAGACTCTACTCATGATTCTAGAATATTTGCACTAACTATATTATTAAGTTCATGTTTTATATACAATTCTATAGGCTCAATTGATGAAAATGCAATTCAGAATTTATCCTTAATAGTAAATTTGACAAAAAATATACATATAAAAAGTGGGTAAAATGATGAAGTAGACTTCGAAGATTATTCTTAATATTTACCATGTTTTTTTTGGGTAGTAAGGGATTTTTCATTACAATTAATAAATACAGAAGGAGAAAAGATTACATCATAAGTATAAATAATTTTGAAAAAAAATATATTTAAAAATCTAAATATATAAATAAATATATATCTAATTATAAATATATATTTATATATATATATATTTATATTTATATATATAAAGGAATATTTAGAATTAGCTCTTTAACATTAGAAAGGATTTTCTGATAATATAGAATAAAAAAATCGTATAAGGAGACTCTTATCAACTTTTTTTAAAAAAAGATTCTGTTAAACCTTAGTAAGGCCATTAACTAATGAAGAAAATCTTTAAAATTTAGATAAATTATCATTTAATGACCTTAGAATTGAATTTTACGAATAAATTTTGAATTTAAGAGAACAAATAATGACAGAAATGAAAGCAAAAACATTAAAAGGGAAAACTTTAAATGGAGAAATGTACACTGTATTAATTAAAAGTTACGTAAATGCAATTAATAATGGAGCTATCCCTAATGTAGAAAATGCCTGGATTTATATATGCTAAAATGAATGTTATAAGGGATAAATTAAGGCTTTTCAAGTCTATGAGTAATTCATTTAGGAAGAAATTATGTTGCCTTTAAATTTTTAGGATTTAAAGTTTTTACTTAAAAAAGCAAAAGGAAAGGCCTTAGAAGAATTCAAAAAAATAGCTGTTGGTGATAAGGATTTATAGAAAAAATTCAAAAATGAGGTCATTAAAAGAGTTAAAGGAAAATAGATAACTCTAGAAGCAGAAAATGAAAAGATTGGTCAGAAAAATTGCAATTAGTTTATCTTTAATGAGTTCTAGAGTATTGAAAGGAAAATGAAAATGAATGAGTATTAATATTTTGGGGAGTTTTAAAATGATTTAGGACTTTTTTTATAGTATTTAGTAGATAATGCACCTAAATGTGCCAATTATATGTATATTATTTATGAGTTTTTAAATAAAGCAGCTAATGAAGGTGCTATTTATTTCATTAAACATAATAATCATGAAAATTAAATATAATTGTTATTGAAAAATGAAATATAGAAAAAATAAGAAATGGAAATAACTGAATTAAAATATAAACTTAATTTAGAAAGTTCAACATATTAGTAATAAATAAATATATTAGAATAAGACAAGATTAATTTATAGACTAAAGAATAAGTATAATATATAATAATATTTTATTATATAAATGAAATATATGTATAAATTTGTATTTTTTTAAATAAATAGATATATAGAGATGAAATAAATTAATTGAAAATAGAAAAAGAATAATTTGATTAGGAATTAAATGAAAATATTAAAAAATAAATATAAGAATTCTAAAAGATAATAAATGAATAGAAATAAAAAATTATAATATTACAAGAAGAATTAAATGAATCTGAAAGGACTAAAAAGTTAACACAATCTGAGTATGAAAAAGATAAGGTAATATATTTAAATATATATATTAATATAAATATTTATTATAATATATATATATATATATATATATATATATTTATTTATATAATAATAGGCCTTATTAAATTAAAAATTAACCTATTATGAAAAATAAATAGAAGAAATGAATAAAAAAGAAAAAGAATAATAAAATAATTTTAAAAATATAATAAAAGATTCTAATTAATAAATTAAAGATTTAAATTAAAAATATGAACATTAAATTAAAAACTTAAATATAAAATTGTATGAGTAATAAGAAAAAATATCAGAATAGGATGCCGAAATAAACTAAAAATAATTAAGATATGAACAAGAAAAAAAAAAATTTGAAATTAATGAGAATAATCTTACTTAATTATTGGAAGAATCAAATACATCTATACATTAATTATAATTTTAAATAAGAGAAATGAGAAAATACGATGAATAATAATAATAGTATATTTAAAATGATATAAATAAAAATAACTTTGAACTTTAAGAAAAAGTAATTTATTTTGAAGAACTTATTAAAGAAAAAGAAGAGACATTAATAAATTTTAAAAATAATTTCTAAAAAGAAAAAGCTCTATATTAATAAAAATATGAATTCTTATAAATGCAATTTGAAGAAACTAAATAATAATTAGAAGAAAATAAAAAAGCACATGAGTCAATAATGAAAGTAATTATATAAATATAAAATATTATATATATAAATATATTTATATATATATATATATTTATATTTATATTTATATTTATATTTATATTTATATTTATATTTATATATCTATATTTACATATATTTTAATATATACAAAATATAGGCTTTAGAATCTTCCAGTTTAGATTGCTAAGGTAAATTTGATAATAAGTAATTATAAGAATTAAAAGAAAACCATAATAAAGAAATAAAAGCTTTAGAAAACGATTTCGAAAAAGCTAGAAAACGATATATTTAATAAATTGAATAATTAAATGAAAAAAATAATGACTTAGAAATAAAGGTATATATATATATAAATATTTAATATCAAAATAAAATTATAGTTAAAATTTGAAAGTGCTGATCTTTAAAAAGTACTTGAATAATTAAAGGATAAAAATTTATAGTCATAAAATTAAATAGAAAAACTATAATAAAGAAATTAAATATTAGAAAACGAAAGAAATACAATAATAAAAGAAAACGAAGAGAAATATTTTTCTAAAATAAGATAATTAGAAGATGAAACTGAGGAAATAAAATTAAATGCTGTTAAAGAAATTCGAGAATCATAATAAAAATCAGAAGAAAACTTACTTTAATTAAAAAATATATACAATTTAGAAAGAGAAACATTAGAAAAAAGAATACAAGAAGAAAAAGAAAAATAAGATAAAAAGCATTAATAAGCATATGATGAATATTAAGAATAAATAAGAGAATATTAATCTAACTATGAAGAAGTGATATTTTATATATATATATATATATATATATATATATATATATATATATATATATATATATATATATATATATATATATATATATATATATAATAAATATTAGTATATATACATTTATATATATAAATAAGGAAATAGAAAACCTTAAATAAGATTTAAGTCAATAAGAATAATAATACCATGATTTAGTTTAATAATATGAACACGAATTAGCTTTAAAATAATAGTCAATAGAAACTTTAGAAAAATACATAAAAGAAACAAAAGAAAGTCTTATTAGTATTTAATAAAATAATAATAGTACACTTGAATAATATGTAAATAACTTCAACAAAGAGAGGAAAAATTTAATGTAAAAAAATGATAATATAAGCCAATAATTGTAAAATAAAGAAAAAGAATTTATTTCTGTTTAATAAAAAAAAGAAAATATTGAATTATAATTAAAAAAAAAAGAATAAAGTGTAATTTAATTAAAATAGGAAATTTCTAATTAAAGAAATTAGCTCTAAAATTAATTAGAAGAATTAAAACATAAATATGATTAATAAAATGAAGAATTTGTATCTTAAAAAATTGAATTTTCGAAAGAAATTGCTTTATCTAATTAAAGAGTTTTTTTATTTATAAAAATTTCATTTTATAGATATTTTTTATTTTTTATTTAATTTTATTTATTAACTTATATATATGAATATTCATATTTTTATTAAATTATTATGTTTATTTTTTATTTTAAATAGAACGATTTTTTAACCAAAAAAAATGAAGATTTATTAAGATAAAATTAAATAATTACAGTTAATTATGAAGAAAAATTAAGTATTTTATATATATATATATATATATATATATATATATATATATATATATATATATATATATATATATATATATATATATATATATATTAATTAAATAGAACTTTTAAAAAGCGAAATGAATTAAGAACTAAATGATAAAACATTTTCATTATAATAATAGAAAAACTAAATGGAAGAAAAATACGAAAAAGTTAGAAAAACCTTAAAAGAAATCGAAGGAACATATAATAAACAACTTTCTTAAATGGAGAAAGAGAAGTTAATATATTAAGAAAAATTGGCAATATTAGAATAGAAAAAATCTGAATAAGACCTAAAATAATAATCAGGAAATTAAAATTATGCAATGCAAATGTTTTAATTAAAAGAATAACTATCCATAGAAAAAAAATAATTACAAATTGAGGCTGATAAATATAAATAAATTAATCTATAATTGGAATAAGATAAAAATGAAATAATAACTAATTATGAAAGAGATAAGGCTTTATGGGAAGGAAAATTTACTTTTTTAGAATAATAAAAAGAATAAGTAATTTTAAATATAAAAATTAAATATAGTACTATATATATTAATAAATATAATATATATATATATATATATATATATATATATTTATATATAATTTTTTTATTTATTCATATATATATATTTTTTAGGCTAAATAAGATTTAGTTGATGCTCTTAAAAAATTTGAAATGACTTTAATTCATTTATAAAAAGCAAGGAATAATGAAAAAGATGAAAATTCTAATAATTTGAATGAATTACTAGTTTCTATTGAAAAAAAATACTAAAATTAAATTAATGATTAAAATGATAACCATTTAATTATTGTTTAAGATTATGAAGACAAAGTCTGTATTAAAAAAAAAATTAAAAATCTTTTTTTTAATAAAAATAATAATAATAAATATAAATATAAATTCATTTTATTTAAAACTTATTTATTTATTTTATAGATAAGGAAATTAAATAAAGAATTAAAATAATTAAAAGAAAGTTAAATGTTTGAAAAACATGGAAAATTAGGAAATTAATTAATGATTGAAAAAAAAATGTAAGAATATATAGAAAATGAAAAAAGGCTTTTATAAGAAATCGAATAATTAAAAACAGAAAAAGAATAAAAAGTAGTTATTTTTTTTTTTTCTTCTATTTATAATATATAATTTAAATATATATATAGAATTTTGAATATTAAAAACAATTAGATTATGAAAAAGATAACTTTAAATAAAAAATTAATGAAATTAAATAAAAATATAAAGAATCTGAACAAAAAAGAAGTAATTTAATATTCGAACATGAAAAAGAAAGAGCGAAATGGAATTTAGATAGAGATCATTTATTAATTTAAAAAAATGAATGTCAAGAATAAATTGAAAAATTAGAAAAAAAAAGAGATATAGTACTAAGGGAAAACGAAAAACTAAAAAATGAATCACGATTATCAAGAAAATCTGTAAATGTAAATGGAAATTTAAATTAAAATAATCAAATTTTAAGTACAAGCAAAAATAATAATTTAAAAAGAATAGGAACAAATACTTCTTAATTAAGTCCGATTTCTGGAAATTCAATATAAAGTAAAAATCAGGTTTTGTAAGAAAATAGTCTATTTATTAATGCTTAAAGTGGATTTTAGTAATAAGATAATGATTATAATTATGATAATTTAAAATAATAATAGTAATAATAAATGAGTTAAAATATATATGACATTTAAGATAATGAGTTTTATGAATAATAATAATAAATGTATTTATAGAAATAGAGTAAAACAATGCTCAAATAATAATAAATATAATAATAATAATAATAATAATAATAATTTGAATAAGTAAATAAAAGTTAATTTTTGAATAATTCCCATAAACTTTTTGATGAATCTTAGTTTTCGGTCAATAATACACTTTCTATAGAAAGATTTAAATATTTTTAAAATTGATAATTTTTTATATTAAAATACATATTATCTATATAATAAATTAAAGATATTATATTACATTTATATTTCATTTTTTATATTTTTTTATTTTTACGTATTTTTTTAAACTTCATCTATTTATTTTTAAATTTTATTTATTAAAAAATAATATTTAATTGAATTAATAATATATAAATATTAAAAACTATCATGTAATTTTAAAACGGTGATTAATATAATGGCGAATTCGATTAATAAACATTTAAAATGTAAGGCTAAGGTACATACACTTATAAAAACGGTTCCAAATATACTGGATTATTTAAAGATAACAAATTTAATGGCCAAGGGCTTTTAATAACACCTTAATTTAAAATAAATGGCGTTTTTTCCGAAAATAAAGCAAATGGATATTGCACAGTTGAATATACAAGCGGAAGTAGATATTCAGGGGAATTATAGAACAATTTAAAATAAGGTAAGGGTGTTTTAATGGATGAAAATATAATATATGAAGGTGAATTTAAAAATGATAAATTTCATGGATAAGGAAAAATTGCATTTAAAAAAAGCGGTATTAATTATACAGGCGAATTTAAGTTTGGAAAAATGAATGGGAAAGGAATTTTTATAGGAAAAGATTATGTATATGAAGGAGAATTTTAGGACTCGAAGAAAAATGGGAAAGGTTAAATAAAATTCAAAAATGGAGATTTTTATAAAGGTGAATTTAAAAATGATTAAAAATAAGGATTTGGTGAATATATTTATTCAAATGGGAGTATCTATAAGGGATTTTTTGTAAATGATCTAAAAGAAGGGAAGGGCTTTCTGAAAATTAATGATAAAGAAGAATACGAAGGGGAGTTTTTGTAAGGGAAATTTAATGGGAATGGTAAATATAAAAATAATGAAGAAAATATTGTCGTGGAAGGATTTTTCAAAGATAATTATGTGAATGGAATGGGGAAAATTATACATTATGATAATTAAATCAAAGAAAACTTCAATTATTATGAAGGATAGTTTGCTTTTAATAATAAACATGGGCCATGTAGATTTGTTCTTTAGAAAAATAATTAAGCTATAGGAGTTTTTACAGGAGAATTTGTATATAATATTGAAAAAAATTCGATTTCTAATTATGGATAAAGAATATGAAAATATAAGTTTATATATATATATATATATATGAATATGTGTATCATGTATTTAAAAATTATTAATATTATTTTATTTTAGTAAAAATTGGTACATATATAATAATAATTTATAAAATTCTAAATTTAATATAGATCATTTTATTATTTATATTTATACTATAATTTTTTATCCTTAAAATCATAAATTTGGGATATATATTACTATTATTAATTTTTTGTTATTATTGTTTTTTCTAAATGGTTTTTTTAGAAATTTTGATTTTAGTTTAATTACATTAAAAATTTTATTTATTTAAAAGAATTGATTAAATATATAATTTATTTTGTTAAGTTAGTATTCTTACTTTATTTTTTTATTCAATTAAATATGTTAGTTTCTTCTCTTTTTAACAAAAAAAACTTTTCAAGTTTATTAAAGTATTTCTTAATGTAAAATTTCTAAATTATAAAAAATAAATGAAATTTTATAAAAAAGTCTAAATTTAAGTGTCTATAATTTTTGAAAAAAAAGAAAGAAAGAAAAGGAAATATATATTTGCTTAAGAAACATTAATAACAGAAGCTATAAAAACAAAAGTTATTAATAGTCTATAAATGAATAATAGTCTTATACTACTTAATAAAATATATTTGATATTTTATTTAAGTTTCATTAAATTATTAAAAAAAAAGAAAATTAATATTTTCATATTATTTAACATAATATAAAATTGAATTTATTTCAATAATAATTAAAGATTTATAAATTTTCTAAAAATTTAAATATAAAAATAATAAATTATTTATTAAATATTTATAATAATATAAACTATATTATTAGCTTATATAATAAAAATAAATAAAAGTATATTTCATTATTAAATCTATAATTTTTTATTTTTATTTATTTCTAAAGAAAAAAATAAATATTGTAAAATAATTTAATTATCATTTTATTTTAAATAAAACTAACTTAATTTTAACGAAAAAATAACAATAAAAGTTTTCAAAAACAATTATTAAAAAAAAAAAAAATGAATAGAGCCTAAAGTGCATATTCAAAAAAAAAAGGGAATAATGTATAAAGTGAACAAAAACAATCTACATAGCACACATTTCATTATAATATTTTATTAAATAAGTAATAAATATAGAATAACTTTAGTTACTAAAGTGATTATTTACAATACAACAATAAAATAAAAAGAAAAAATTAAAATTCTGAAAAAAAAAAAACACTATAAAATAAATAAGACAATAATATTTAAAATGTATAGTAAGACTTAGTATTGAAAGTAAATAATTTTTTCAAAAGTGGTAAAACAGTATTATAGGAAAACTAATTTTAATAATAATAATTAAAGAAATAAAAAAAAAATGAAAATAAAGAAAAATATAAAATAGTTTAAACAAAAAGATTAAATCTGAAAGAAAATGCAATAATTTTAAACGAAAGTAAATTTTCGACAAAATAGTTACAAAACGAAGATTAATTATATTCAAATAAAGCTTTAAAAAAAAAAAATTATTAAATTCCAACCAATAGATCTTCTTCTTCTTCATATTAATTAGAAAAACATTTCTAAAGTAAAGCTTTGTTAAATTAAAAAAAGAATACTTCTGAAATTTAATAACCTATAAAAAAAATTAATAGTAATAATAATAAAAATAATATTCATATTTCTATAGAAAACTTAGCTTAAAAAAATTAAAATAATATTAATGATATTATTTTTTAAAAAAAACTATAAAATTAATCGGCTAAATATTAATAAAAAAATATTTAAGAAAAAGTAGAAAATTGCATATAAGATTATCAAAAATTTACTAAACTAGAAAATAATGAATCTGATATAAAATAAAATAATTAATATTTTTAATAAAAAAATAATGATAAAAACATATATAATGATAAAAATAATAATAATATAACCTATAATTAATTAAGTGATAATAATATTTAACTAAATATAAAAAAAAACAGCAAATAAAATTCTCCTTTATAAAAAACAATTTAAAAATAACCTTAAAATTTGTTAAATTTTATAACATAAATAAACTATCAAAACACAAATTAATAAAAATAATAAAACTAAACTCTTAAAATAAATTCAGGAAATCATAAAAATCATCTATATTATATAAGTAGTGTTATTTAAGGATTTAAAGAATCAAAAAATGAATAATATAATATAATCAGAGAACATTTAATTAATACAATATAAGGAATTTAATATGCTAAATTATCAAAATTACCCACAAAAAAATAAATTGATTAGAAAAAAGTTTATATTCCTATATAAAAAAATTGTATGTATATTATATATCTATATAAATATATATTAATTATATATTTCAAAAAATAGTTAAATAAACTTTGATTTTTGATCTTGATGAAACTTTAATACATTGTAATGAAAATACATAAATATAATCTGATGTAATTTTAAATATAAAGTTTCCAACTGGTGACATTATACAAGTATTTTTTTAAGAAAATAATAATAATCATAATATATATATTTTAAAGGCTGGTATTAATATAAGACCTTATGCGATTGAAATATTATAGGAATTAAGTAAAATTTATGAAGTTATAGTTTTTACAGCAAGTCATAGTTGTTATGCGAATGTAGTTTTGGATTATTTGGATCCTAAAAAATAATATATTACATATAGATTGTATAGAGATAATTGTATATAAGCCTAAGATTCGGGTATTTATATAAAGGATCTGAGAGTTATTGCAAATAGAAAACTTTCTGATATGATTATTGTTGATAATGCAGCGTATTCTTTCAGTTATTAAATTGATAATGGTATACCTATATTGCCTTTTTATGATAATAAAAATGATAATGAGTTAAAAAGTTTATAAAAGTATTTAGAATATATAAATTAAGGTAAAGATTTAAGAGAAATCAATAAAAATATGCTGAAAATTAAAAATTTCGCTGAATATAATGATCCAATTTAATTGCTGGAAAATCTTTTTCCTGAATACCTAGAATGATATTATATGAAACTTATTAATATAAATATGATTTTTTTTGTATTATTTTATATATATTTATATTTATATTTATAAAAAATAATATATATATATATATATATATATATATATATATATATATTTAATTATAATTTTTCACATCTTCATTATACTAATTTGAATCTAATTTTAATATTTTATTTATTGGTTCATAAAATTCATTTTCAGCTTATTTACAATTTCTTTCATTTAAAAAAGCTACTCTATATAATTCCAAGTATTATTTTTCTTCCTCATTTAAAACTTTTTTTTATATTTATATTTTTACATATAAATTTATATTTATATATTATTATATTTTTATATTATCTATTTTACTTTTTATTTATTTTTCGTATTTTTCTATTGTAGTTAAAGCTTAAGATAATTATAGTTGAAAATCTGTAATTTATTAATTTGCATTTGTTAAATTGCCATTATTAGCATTAATTTCATTTTCGTATTTCATTTATGTTTTTTTAAGAACTTATAAAAAATCCTAATATTCATTTTCTTAGACTACTTTTTTAATTTTTTCTTTAATTTAGATATTAATCAAATTATAAGTATAAAAAAACATATTTCTAGTTTATTCAAAACTTATTTTTTTAAACGGAAAAACTTCTTATATTTAAGATACATCAAAATCTAAAAATAAAGCTTTTTATAATTATACTTTAAA